TGCCGGACGAGATCCATCTCATTACTACGCTCACTGCCTTTAAAAAGGAAGTAAAGACGGATCTCTTCCGGCAGGCCTTCCTGGAATAGCATCTGCTTCAGGGAGATGTGATTTCAGCTTTTATCATTATTATGTTCCCATTGTAGCTCGTTTTTATTGTTATTGTTTTTAATGGATAAGTGTATTTTAATCTTTTCAAGTTTAATACTGTTTTAAGGGGTTTGGGAGGGTAGGATAAGGGGATGAGGGAATGTTAATTTGTTGTTTGCTTTAATGTTGTAACCCACCTTGATTGTTGAGCAGAGGGGCGGGCTATAAATAATAATAATAATAATAATTATTATTATTATTAAATGGCAAAATCAAGGTTTGCATTTTGGAATTTATATATTTCTTTGGAAATATTCTCAAGCTGTGGGTGGTTGAATCCATGGATAAAAAAAAGTCTGTGGATATGGAGGGATGACTGTATTCTTCTGTACAATATATGCTTAAGACTTTTTTGTACCCATGTTGCTTCCAAGTGCATAGATCAGGGGTAGGCAACCTTTCCCCTTTAAGGGCCGAGGGACTTCAGCTCCCAAAAGCCTCAGCCATGTTGGCCAATAGTCCCATGTTGGCCAATAGCTCCTGGGATTCTGGGAGCTGAAGTCCCTCGGCCCTTAAAGGGGAAAGGTTGCCTACCCCTGTGCTAGGTCCTAATAGAGGGCTGGAAGGCAGCATGGTGTAATAGTTTGAGTATTGGATTAGGACTCTGGGAGATCAGGGTTCAAACTCCTGCTCAGCCATAGAAATCCATTGAGTGGCTTTGGGCAAGTCACACTCCCTCAGCCTCAGAAGAAGGCACAAGCAATCCCCACCCCTCCCGAACAAGTCTTGCCAAGAAAACTGTGCAAAGGGTCTCCATAAGTCGGAAATGAATTGAAGGCACATAGTGACAAAAACTATTTACATATACAAGTACTTTGATTCCAACATGAAGATTTGCCATTCTTTCACTGGACATGTATGGGATTTAAAAGGTCTTAATTTGGCCTGTACTGTGTGCAGGCAGCCTGTGATAATAAAACAGGGCTGTGAAAGCTTCTGTCCTTATCTCTCATGTCTAGGTGGGAGAGGAAACACCTACTATCTTCCTCCATTCCCTTGTTAGTCCTTAGTTGGCAATGCATTTGTCACTCTGTGTGTGTGTTAGCAGGAGTGTGTGTCAGTCCCTCTTTAAAAGCAGCACTGGAGAGTGAGATGCTGATGTAAGAAGATTAAAGAGGCACTCTGATGGGGATGGATGTTAATGGAAGTGTTTCACTAAGTGGCTGATGCTGAGAGAGGCCCAGAGGGCAGTGACATGGTGAATCCGTCATGATAACAACCTTGCCAGCCTGTTTGTAAATCAACCTGCACCCCCAGTTGCAGTCTTCCCCACTAGATCAGAAATTGCCTTCCTGTATTCCTTACCTAAATAGCCTAAGGCATCAGACCCCCTCTGATCTTAGAAGCTAAATAAGGTAAGCCTTGTTGAGTACAGTCAGTACTCCATATCAATGGATTTTTAAATCTACAGATCCAAGCATCCACAGCTTGAAAATATTATAAAAATATTCTAAAAACATTCATGGGGGGATCCTTTCCAGACCCCCGCCCTTGTGAAAAAGGGAAAATGCAAATATTCAAGCCCTATTGGCTTGAATGGAGGTGCATGCTTGTGGAGGCGAGCGGGTGCACCCCATTTTATGTCCCTCCATTCGTCCCTCACAGATAAGTGAGGGTTGCAAACTTCAAGTCCATGAAAGCGGAGAGACAAATGTAAATTCCAAAAAGGAAAGCTTGATTTTGCCATTTTATATAAGGGACACCATTTTACTATCCATTGTATTTAATGGGACTTGAGCATCCACAGATTTTGGGATCCATGGGAGTTCCTGGGACCAAACCCCAGCAGATACCAAGGGTCCACTGTACTTGGATGAGAGATTGCCAATGAAAACCAGGTGCTGTAGACTACAATTCGGAGCAGAGGTAGGCAACCTTTTTCAGCCGGGGGCCGGTCTGCTGAAGTCCTCCCTTCCAGCGGGCCAGGGGGAAGGAATGGCAGCTGTGCGCGCTGCCGCCACCGCTGCCGCGCATGTCGCCCCCGCCATTTTGTTTTCCAAAATGGCGGCCGTGACGCGTTTGCGCATGCGCAGGCTTGCAGGCCACTGAGGAAGACTGTTGTTGAAACGCGTCTGGCCTTTAGTTTTTACTATTTACTATTATTATATTACTTTATTTTTTGCATTTGCACACTTTTCAGTGGGGTATTGTTACCCTTTTAGAAATTTTACTGTTTTATCTATTCCAGGGTTCAGTTTTTTGGCCTTGGGTTTTGAAATTTTTATTATTATTGTTATTATAAAACTTAATTTCTGCATTTGCAAACTTTTCAGTGGGGTATTTTTACCCTTTTAGAAATGTTATTGGCTTTTTTGCTCTAGGGTTTAGTTATTCCTTAATTTTTCATATTATTGCCTTTTTGGAATTGGAAGTGGGAGTATTTTATCCTGGTTATTCTTTGGCAGAACCCTTCAGTTTGGGTTTTTGATCATAAATCTTGGGTTTTTCTGGCTGTAGGGACTTTTGTTGGTTTGCCGTAAGTTGATAGGTGACATGAAGGCGCACACACACAACTCTTCCCCAACCAGGCCCCAGCCCTTGTGTACGGTATCTGATGGCAGGGGATGTAGCCACGGGGAAACCAGCAACAGGTGCACTGTAAAAGCACAGGCCCTTCAGTCTTCTCGCTCTCTCTCACCTGACTAAAATTACTTTGTTATTTTTTTCCCCTGAGTGGAAAACAGAACCCTGAAACCTGTAGCTAAACTGGACATCTTTTTGCTATGATCATTCCTCCTAATATCCAGTAAAAAAGAGCAGAAAGGCAATAAGCACATTTGGGAGAGTTCTAGGGCTGCACCCACACTGCAGAAATAATCCAGTTTGACATCACTTTAACTACCACAGCTCAATGCTATGGAATTCTAGGAAGTGTAGTTTGTTGTGGCACTATTTGGTGCCACAATAAATTATACTTCCCAGAATTCCATAGCAGTGAGCCATGGCAGTCAAAGTGGTGTCAAGCTGGATTATTTCTGCAGTGCGGGTGTAGCCAAAGGGGTTCAGAAGTACAAATAACATGTGGGTGGGATCTTAAATGGGATTCCCACTCCGAAGGTGGACCAGTGAGGAGGAATGAGCATACTCAAGGGACATGAAATGCTGAGAGTATGTTGGGAGAGGGGCTGTTGTTGTGTGTCTTCAAGTCATTTTCAATTTGTGGCCACCCTAAACTGAACCTATTATGGGGTTTTCTTTGCAAAATTTGTTCAGAGGAGAATCTGAGAGCATGCGACTTGCCAAGATCACCCAGTGGGTTTCATGGCTGACCGGGGAATTGAACCCTGGTCTCCAGAGTTCTAGTACAGTGCTTAAACCACTATGCCATGCTGGCCGTCTGGGATAGGGTTAGGGAATTGGAATATTCTACAAAATGGCATGGCTGCCTGAAGCAATGGGCAGGAGAACTCTGCTAGGAATGTAGAGTACGGTATATTTGCACTCTTCCCCCCCCCCATCTGTGATGAGAAAGGTTGAAAAAATTTCAACCACCACAGTGAGAAACCCTCCCCCCTTTTTTTTTTTTTTGGTCAATAGTGCAGAAAAATGTGTGTTCCTGCCCCTCATGCTGTAGTTTACACAAAAACATTTTGTGGAAAGAGTTTGGTTTCAGAATGTAACTTACAGATCGATATGTCTATGTTGATTTAGTCTCGATATACATCAGGTAAGCTATCTGCTTACACAAACACAGTCTCTCTGTTTTGTGTTTAGAAGCATAGCAATCACAGCCATTCATTTAAGATTCCATTTCTTGTCTATTTTTCTTTAAATCACTATTATTTTTAAGATTTAAAAAAACCCTGCTCTGGGTGGGTTGGATGATTTGTGAACTTACAGGAAATCTTGGTTTCTAGATCTTTGAGCATCATGGTTGGCCTTCTCTGGACATGTTCCAGCTTATCAGTATCCTTCTTGAAGGACATTTTATATGTATAAATGCACATTTGGAAACAATTATTATAAATTAAATAGAAATACAATACATCTTACGCTATAAAATAATACAGTGACCTGTATTCAGTGGTTCACCTTAGTGGAGAAGCCTGTGATTACATGACCTACATGCCAAGTCTTCTGCTCAGGGGCTCATTATGGATGAGCAAGTTCATGGCTTCTGTTCTCACTTACTTTGGACATTATCACATGAGTCCCATTCTCATTGCAAACATATCAGTTAATGAAAATGGAAACATGCTGGTTTGAGAGCAGCCATTATTGCATGTTTCCACAATAGCGTGGTTGGGGCTGTTTCTGTCACTGCATTCTCTTCCTCACTCCCCCTTAACCCTGCATCCTTTCCTCATGTCCTACCCAGTGTGACTTTCAGTTTCTTACTAGCTTTATTATTATTTTTTAATGGAGTTCTGAGAGCCAGCATGGCATAGACCAGGGGTAGGCAACCTTTCCCCTTTAAGGGCTGAGGGACTTCATCTCCCAGAATCCCAGGAGCTATTGGCCAACATGGGACTATTGGCCAACATGGCTGAGGCTTCTGGGAGCTGAAGTCCCTCGGCCCTTAAAGGGGAAAGGTTGCCTACCCGTGGCATAGTAGTTTGAGTGTTGGACTATGACTCTGGAGTCCAGGGTTCAATTCTCAGCTTGACCATGAAGCCCACTGGGTGACCTTGAGCAAGTCACATGCTCTCAGCCTTAGAGGAATGCAACGGCAAACCTCCTCTGAATAAATCTTTCCAAGAACCCCTCCTGATTATGGCCTTAGGGTCGTCATAAGTCAGAAACAACTTGAAGGCACATTACAGACATCAAGACATTTCTGGAATTCTACTAAAGCAATTTGATTATTTTAAAAAAAAGAAATAGAAATTAAATTAAGGCAATCAACCTGCTTGGTTGTGGGAAGAGCAGGGGCCACTGACACCATGTGACTGCCAATATTAGAACTGCTATGGCATCAACTTTTCACACCTGAGGACTAATAGGATTGCAGTGTGATTGGGATGATGAGTTATTGATGAGTTTCCCCTGTCAATGAAATGGGACACCCTAACCATGCTTTGGAGATGCAGAGGCTAAGGGTTGGTGGGGACATAGTGTGATAAGTATCACCAAAGGCATTATTTTATAATTGCAATTGGCCACCGTGTAGTAATCGGCTAAGAGCCCTGGTAGTGCAGTGGTTAAATGCCAGTACTGCAGCCAAAATGTTGTGAGTTTGATCCTGCAGGGCTCCAGATTGACTCAGCCTTCCATCCTTTTGTAGGTTGGTAAAATGAGTACCGTATTCAGGTTGTTGGGGGCAATTGACTAACATATTGTAAACCACTTAGAAAGTGTTTAGGACTATAAAGTGTTATAGAAATGTAAGTGCTAAGTGCTATTGCTAGGACTAGAGAGTCCTTCAAATAGATAGCAATTCTTTCTATAGTGGGATGCTTCTGGCCACCCTAAATTAAGCTCCAGGACAGAACCCCAAAGATGGCATTCTCCCCACCACCACCACCACCAAAGCATAGCTGTTTGGATTTTGTTCAAATTGTATGCACCTGTACATGCAATTCTGTTCCTTGTACCTTTAGAATCCCCCTGAAAAACACAGTCACTGAGATTGTGCTGTATGTAAATCTGCTTACAGCTAATTGATTAATTAGTTTAATTGGTTAAAAGCAAGACTACTTGAAGATAAAATCCAGTGACAGGCCTATTACTCTGTATATACATAACAGCTATTGTTGCCCGCTTGGAAACAATCAGGAAGAGATGGGCTGTGTAAGTTTTACAAACAAACAAACAGAAATCGCTAATCTTTTATTGTGTGGTAAATCACCATGACAGAAACTCAGTACCATAAAAAAGGGACACAAACAAGGGAAAAATTTCTTGCTCTTGGTTTTCCAATGAGACAGGGACAACCGTCTCACTGTTCGCATGGGTAACATAAACATATGTGTCTGACATCCCCTTGAGTTATTTATGCCATGTACGGATGTTGTTTCTATAGGATAGATCATTGAGTGAAATTGGCATAAATTCAATGTGCATTCAGGATCAAGAAGAGGCAGAAGACAGAATAGGATCTACTGGGAGATCCCTGGGGTGATTTGCCCTAGATTTGTGAACATTTACTACTCCCAGTTGTCTGACAATAGCAACAACTAAAGAATTTCACATATTACCAGATTAGATGGCTAGGGAAAAAAGATAGGGAGAAACCAGAAATGAGGTTTTGTGAGAAAATACTGGTGAGCTCAGTCTTGGGAATGAAAATTCCTGGGCTGAACATGTGCTCAGAGCCACCTTGTTATTCATTCATTCATTCATTCATTCTCTCTCTCTCTCTCTCTCTCTTTCTCTTTCTTTCTCTGCCCTCCTTAGCTACAGTTTTGTACCTGGTTCATAGGTGGTGGGTTTCTGGGAATAAGTAGTAACACATATAGACCCCCAAAGCCTATAGACTGCTACTCTAGTATGTGAAAGATATGTTGGAGATCATAAAAAATGTCTGAATGCTGAAAAGAACTCAATTTCCAACATAAGAGCTATGCTGCTTGAGGCAGGGGAGGTAATTTGTATCCCTGCCCTTCCAGCAGCTCCATATTTATTATGCAATCCCATGATGGAAAGGGCCTTTAAGTTAGTGACAAACATAGATGAAATGCTTCAGGAGCTTCCATTCATTTCCATGGGGATTTAGCAAGAGAGCACCAGATAGATCTTGGCCTGAACATGTTGTTTCTCTCAAGCTATATTCCTATCTCAGAAAAGTAAATTTTACTGGATGAACATTGAGTTTCACATGTATCCCAGCTTTGAGGAATATGTAAGAAACTACTATATACAGTGGTTCCTTTGCATTAGCTGGAGTTAGGAGTGAAGGACCCCTGTGAATGTGAAAAAACACTATTCTTTTTACTTAAGAAAACACTTCTCTAGGGACGTTATCACACGTGGCCCACAAAGCGATAAAACTGGAAATGACAAATTCTGAAAATAAACCGAAAATAAACCTTGATTCTGCAAATGGTTTTAATACGTAATTACCTTAATTGCGCAATTAAGGAAAGATTACCCCTGAAACTGCATTTAACGTTCACACACAAGTGAGAAAATCCCGTACATGTACTAGAAATGATCTTCTAGCACATGCGCACTACAGCCGCGGCTGTCACTCGCCGCGGCTGTCACCCCTTCCCCAGGTCATCCTCAGAGCAGCCGGCCCTCCGCACGGCCAGCGCTGCGAGGAGGACCTCCCGCCTCAGCGTCCTCTGAGGAGGTCCCCCTCGGAGAGCCGGCTTTCCAAGGGGGACCTCCTCGGAGCGCCGACCCTCTTCCAAATGCGACCCTCTTCCAAATCCCCCTTGTGCATTTGGTTATCACATTATGGTAAATACGAAATTACCTTAATTGTGCATTTGCATTTCCTCCAAACAACTGAATTTCAAAAGATCACGGTTAACACCAGTTTCTGTCCACTTTCTGTCCAGTTTCTGTGTGACGTCGTGTGAAAACACGGGGCACTAATCCAGTTTCTGTTTGGGTTTTGTGTGGATTAACTAGCAGATTTGCCCCCGTGTGATAATGTCCATAGATTGCATCTACACTGTAAAGATATTGTAGTTTGGAACCACTAAGTGCTGTAGCTCCATTCTGTGGAATTCTGGGATTAGTAGTTTTACAAGGTCTTTAGTGTTCTCTTTCAGAGAGTCCAGGATTCCATAGGGTGAAGCCATGGCAGTTAAAGTGGAGCCAAACTGTATAATGTTTACAGTATAGATTCCATGCTTGAGCTAAAGTGCTCGGGCTGGGTTTGTCCTTTTCCTCCTGGCCACACAAAAAGGATTTGGTCCTCAGCTAGCTTGGTGCCATCCAGTTATTTTGGACTACACTTTCCTTCAACTCTCAGCTAACATTGCCATCGGTCAGGGTTGATGGACATTGCTCCACTGCTTCCATCTTTACCCCACAAGCAAGAATTGCCTCCAAGTTATTTCAACAGAGAGGGCTTTAGGGGACAATTGCACCATGCTTGAGAGCCCCTGGGCTGTTTTATGCTGGACAGGTCTATTTTTTTCAAACAGAAATGACCAGAAGTCAATTTCTAGGCCACTTCCTGTGATTTAAACCCCTTTCCTGGACTTAAAATGGCCATGGTGGACCCCCAAATGTGGTGGATTTGGTCCCTCCCCTACTTTGTAGGGTCATTAAAACATATTAAAAATTTCTTCAAAGATACCATTCTAAATTTTTGGGGGGAAATTGCTTTCCGTGCCCCAGCCCACACCACCCCCTGTCCAACATACAAGGGATCTGCTCCAGATAGAGAGAATTTCCACTGAGATTCTGATTAAGGAATCGATATTCAAGAATCAGTGT